GTACTAGAAATTTCTCGCTACCGGTTGACAACTATAAAAGGCTAGAGAGAGAGAGCATCTGAGTTGAGTTGCTTGGTTATTGTTGTTGCGAGTTATTTAAATCGGCGAGAATTGAGATATCCGTGTTAGCTTTCTCTTTAGATGCGGTTTGCATTGCGTTGTATTTAATATTTTTAGCAGTTTGAAGAATAACTACTAATTACACTGCGTGATATTATGAACACTTGTGAAAATATCTCTGAGGAAAATATTAGCGTTCTGTTATATTTCTTTTAATAAGAATAGATTGTATTAACCTATTATCGGACTTATGCGTCCAATCTGTTAGGAACACATACCCGCGAAACAATATAATTATCAAATTTTCTATTTGTGATTATTGCATAGGGAATTAAGTTTCAAACTATCGCAAACTGAAACTAGGAAAAGTTAATACTATAACAGCTTAAGAGAACTATGCCAAAACTATTAAAAACTTCTAATAAGCTTTAAAAAAAGTTTGAGATTTGCATTGGTATGCATACATTTTAAAGTAAAATAAAATAAAAAGAAAACAAAAAGTATGGTACATACATAAAAAATAAGCTAGAACAAACAGTACATACATTAAAAAAAAAAAAAAAAAGAATTAAATTATCGCCGATATTATATACCGGTGTAATCGCATGATTTATTTGAATATGGGGTTTTCTATTTCGATTTCCATTTCATTTTATGGTGTATTTTGTTTTTATCTTTAAATGTTCAAAGGGCCATGCGGAACGAAATGGGATACAGTTCTTTAGGATTGTTCAGTTGTGATGTTTCAGATTATTATCTCTTGAGAACTTGGTCTAAAACATTAAAACTATGAATAATCAACAATGTATTATAAATTTTAATATGATTGGTATATCCAGTATATAAAATAAAATTTTCTAAAACACTTAAAGGATGGTTTATAAATTTGATTTATAATTTTGAAATATAATAGGTTTCTGTATATAGTTTTAACATCTTCCTTGGATGGTTTAATCTACTTCTACTAATCTACTTAAAAAACGTAAATTATTAATTTACGTTTTTTAAGTTTTTGATTACATATATATATATACACACGTGTGTATGTCATCTGCTCTCAATATGCGTATTTTTCTTCTCCGCTAATGATATTTTTGTTGTTGTTGTTGTTGTTGTTGATTACGCATCATCAGTTGATAAATGATGTTGATAGGAAAATGTTAAATTTGAAAGTAAATGCTTTGTTTCGAAATTACAGATTTAATCAGTAAATGACGCGATAACCATCATAAAATTCAGTATCTAGAAAGTATTGTGAATCATAATGATATGTTTGTATGATGATATAAAAACTGTGGATTCAAATTTGTTTTGAAACATTTAAGCTAAATATGCGATAAATTTCAAAATGAAAAGTCAAAAAATCTGTTTATGATCACTTTTTTATTATCTTTCAAAGCTTAGTTTTTATTATTTTTTTTAAGTCTAGAAGAGTTATAGTCTCCAAACGTCATTTTGTGGAGTTTCACTGTAAACGGCGAATCAAATTTTTGCCACCAAAGTTAAATTTTGTATTTTATTTAAATGAATGAAATAATGAAGAGTCTGCATGAATATATGTATGTTTCTCGCATACTGAAAAAAAACGAGTTTTGAATAACGTAATCCTCCACCCGAACATGGGTACCTGGAAGCCCGAATTTTGAATTTCGAACCCGTTTTATTATCTCTTTCATATTTTGTAAAACTTTAACGAATATTTGATTAACAATCTCAGCGATTTCAAAGCGAACAATGCAACACTGTAAGGGAAAAAAAAAACACTTTTACCTCCAGCGCGCAAGACTGTGTATTGGAAATTCTAAAGATATGCTGTTTGTAAATACTTTGGGCTATTGCTTCTGAATTGAAATGTATCGTTTAAGTTAGAAAAACATGATATTTAATAAATAAAGATAATACACAAAACATTTATAAAAAAAACGCCCTGTTGGGCGTAATAGAAAATCTGAAAACTTTCAGTTCTTTTTTTATTATTATTATTTATTTATTTTATTTTTCTTTTAATTGTTAAAAATCAAAGTCTTTATTTTCTGCTAATTTTGGTTGCCCAGAAATTAATAAATGAAAGCTATTAATTTCTTGAAAGTATCTCTGCGTGTTTTTCCTCTTTTCACGTGGGTTAGTTAATATTAAAAAAATTTAAAAGAAAGCTTCATTTCATGTGCATCAAATAAGGAATTTTATAAACATCTTTACTCTATAAACTCATTACAATGAATGAAGTTAACTGAGACTATCTCTATCTTGTCTTCAAAGTAAAATGCTAACAAAATAAACTGAGTTATTAATTGCATAGAATTTAAGGAAGAACTGTTTCATTTCGGTCGAGATCAGTCTCGACCACAGAGGAAACTTTTTGAGAGCTGGCCTTGCACTTAATACTAACCTCGCCCATTTTATTTATTGCAATGGTGATAGTAAATTAGAAAAACGTGCTAAACAAAACATTACTTTGAAATATTTACCTTAGGTGGAAAGGGTAGTGTAGAATTTGTTAGGAAATATTTTCTAAAGCAAAGAGAGCTTTCTGTTGTGTAATTCTTCTTCTATGAGTTAATGTCTTTCTTTGGTATTTTTAAGGGTTTGGAGCTTAAAGTTACTTTGTTATTTAGCAAATAGTTCTTCTTTTTCCGGGAGCATTAACTCTTTTTCGTGACGAATAGGAATTTTATGTCGCTTTCAGTGCTTCCGGAAATTCATTCTTGATAGCTGAACTTAGAAATTTTTACAATCTAGTGCACTTTTCTAACTAGTTATATAATTCTTGAAATTATGTTATAAATGATGTTAATGTTATGCCGATAACAGTTTTTATAAATGTATGTTTTATGGTATGTTTATATAAATAATAAGACATATAAGAAAGTTTACATAAATAATAAGACGGAATAAACAAGACACGTTTGTGAAATTATATCATTCGGTTCTAGTGAAGTATAAAGTATCCAGATTCTAAAGGGACCAACAAAATTACCGAAATCGTTTACAAGTTAACATTATGTATAGTAGGTTACTTTTAATCAAAATCAAGATTCTAATTTGTTTTAGTGCAGGAAAATATCTCAGAAATACTTCAGTAAACACGTCGACGCAAACTACTGTAAAATAAATTTTTTTTGAAATCGCTGTTTATAACATTATTTGAAAATATTATTTAACTGATTGTGTGAAATTAGAAAAGATTAATGTAATCCGAAAAAAAAGGAGAAAAGTTCTTCTGGGTTTATTTTGTAAAGCTTTAAGCTTATTAGCGATAGAGGTGCTATTAGTATCAAACCTCACTTTTTTTTGTCCAGATAACTTTGTAAAGACATTAGGTATTTTTTGAAGCAGGAATCATAAAAAATGATCAATGCTTTCGCCGTGAATTGAACCACGGATCTCTGGAATACGAGCTGAGCATGCAGACCACTACATCACGAAGGCACGCTAAGAAGGCGGGAGAAATACCTTAGATACTTCCACTTTTAAAGGGCGACTGGGGTTTAGGGGACCCAATCGCCAAATCCTGGGTGTGAAGAATCATCATCCACCACCATTTTTTTTTTTTTTTTTTTTTTGTTCGATCGCCTCTTTAGAGACATTAGGTATTTTTTAAGCGGGAATCATGAAAAATGAGCAACGCCTTCGCCGGGAATCGAACCACGGACCTCTGGAATACGCGCCCAGCATGCAGGCTACTACACCACGAAGGCACGCTAAGAAAGCAGGAGAAATACCTTATAATTTTTGTGTCCGTATCACTTTTCAAATGTTGCCACCAAATGTTATCGCCAGAGCCGTGCCAAGATATTTTTTCACCTGAGGCAAAAAGGTAAATGCGCGCCCCTATATCTTATATATATGCTGCTTAAGTGTTTGTCGCCAATAGTTTATAGGTTGATTGCGTAACTGTACTAGCCAATGGTTTCTCATACATTTGGTTTTCAAATCCAAGTTCAGAATTTTCTTTTACTGTTGCCAAAACTAGATATGAAATACAATGTTGCCAATAAATGCATTTTCCTTTAAAATTATTAAATCTGTTTTTGTATTTTAAACTGAATTTTCAGCTGAACGCAAATTGATCGTGTCAAGGGGAACGTGAATATTTGTTTGCATTGGCACTCATCTGTTTTTTAAATGGTTTACAACTGTAATTGCATCTTTATTCCACGGAATGTGTTCACGAGGAGCTTGTTATTTAGTATTCATGTCAGAGTGGGATCAAGTATTTACAATTTGCATTTTAAACAAAAATTCATTTTGTGCAGCAAATAAACTAATTCAGATTAATTCAGTTTGAATTAGCAGACACCTTTGCACAAATCATTTTAATTGCAATTTATAATATCTAGAACAGCGGTCATTTCGTATGACCGCCGGGATTTCTAGTATATATATATATCTATATAAAAAAGCTATATTTGTATTAAACAAAAATAACTGTATTAAATCAAAATATCATAATTCTTATAACATGATTATACCATAATTCTTGAAGTATTATTTAATCGTACCTTTATAAATTTAGAAAAATAATATAGCCAATTATTTATAACTTTCAAATGAATATGTTAAAAAATTCTTTTTTGATAAATAAGAAATAACATCAAAACGCATTCCAGGTTTTCTTGCATTATTTAAATTTGCCGAAGCTTATTTCCCCTGATAATAACTGACAAATATCAAAACATAATTAAAGTAATTTTCGAATTCGTATAGCCAATTTGGCGCCCTTTCTAATGATTCACCTGAGGCAAATGCCTCTTGCCTCACCCTTGTCCCGGCTCTGGTTATCGCCAAGCATTATTTTTATAATTAAATTGTCCTATTTAGACCTACATAAAGTCTGTTCTGGTTTCAATATTGCTATGAATATGCTTGTGACTAAACTAAATCGTGTATACGTATCACTTTTAATGTGAATAATAATAAGATTTTGCCATTCTTATTAGCTGCTCGGGCCTGTCTTTTGTCAGGAGGGCAAAAGAGATGACAGCCACGTTGACAACGTTGTCCGTCAAGCTGTGGCCGATGAATTCAGCAGCGAAATTCTCACAAACAGGACGAGAGGTGAGAAGCATACATTTTCTAATCTGTTTCTGAATTTTTGTACGATATACAATTTAGAAAGAACTGAAATTATAAAATGAAAAATTGCTTATTGAAGGATTTTTGTATATTATATTTATATATATATATAAGTTAGTAAAAATAGTTAGTAATTATTTAAAAACTTTAACTGTAATTGAATGCTTGCCAGTTAATATTACCCTTTTTCGCAGTTAAATACCATTTTGTAAACTCTTACAGTTGTTTAATACATTTCTGTTAAAGTGATAATTCTGTGACAGTTTACAAATTTCTAAGAAAGAATTTATACCTTCTACTATGCTGGTACATTTAATTGAATTCTATTCGAGCACTTACTTGCATTTAAAATGCCTATAAAAGGCACTTTAGTTAATGGAAAGCCTAAAATAAATGATTTTTTCAATGCAAAGAGAGGTAATGGTTGCCCGTTATGCTTCCGAAAGTTTAAACCATGCTTTCATTATCGGCTGCTGTCAAGTAAATAAACCAGCAATATATCCAAAAAAATTAATTTGTTAGTAGCATAATAAAAGAATTAAGTTAAAACTTTCAAAGATGAGTCGTACCTGAATTTTGATATATTACGCTGATTTTTATTAGAAAAATTGTTTGTTCACGAGTTTGCATTTAGAGTTTATCAATTCGTTTTCGAAATATAGAATTGAACTGATACACGCACACACAAAAGAAAAATTAATAAATAAATAAAATAAAATAATAAATCCATTTCGAGGAAGAGTAGATTGACGTGAGATTCTTCGGAATGCATAATAGAATACCAAATATCTGTCTAAAGTTGAATTTTGGTGTAATTTTAAATTTCGCATATACCCTCTAAAACAAAATTCCATTTCTAGGAAGAGTGAACTAACATGAGATTATTCAGAATGCATGATAGAATTCTTTGGAAGGCATAAGTATCAGTTTCAGGCTTGATTTTGGCCAAATTAATTGTGAAATATGATTTGTATTTTGCAAAAATTGTGACATTTTATTTGTATTTTGTAATAAAATATGAAATTTCAAAAACTTCAGGTAACTGGAAAATTTACATTATTTGGGGACTCTGCACCATCATTTACTACTGTGAAATTTTGGACAGTTGAATTTAAACGTGAGCATACCTGCTTGGATGGCCAAAAACCGTTCAAGACGGCCAAAAACTGCAGTCACTGAAAAAAACATCGCATAAAATCCACCAAATGGTGCTGACGACCATCGAATCAAGGTTAGCAAAGGCTATTATTTAGAATGTCCAAAGAACGTGTTTGCCACATATTAAACCAAGATTTAGATATACGCGAGCTAGCTGCACGTTGGGTGCAGCGTTTGCTCACTTTGGAAAACGTGTCCGAATGAACATTTGCATCTTTCTATTGCCTCAATAAATCGGAGTTTTTTCTACTATTAATCACTGTAGATGAAACCTGGATTCATCATTACAGCCCAGAAATAAAAATACAGTCAAAACAGTGGACTGCGAAGTGAGAATCGGTTCCAAAAATGGCAAAAGCTGTTCCTTCTGCTGGGAAAAAGATAGCAACAGTTTCCTGGGATAGCCATGGGATTGTTTCAATAGATTATTTTGAAAAGAGAAAACCATTACCAGAGCTAACTACGCAACTTTGCTTGACAAGCTAAAGACAAAAATTACGGAAAAACGACTACATTTGCAATGCTCCATCTCACACCTCAGCGGCTGTAATAGCGAAAATCCATGAATTACGATTTGAACTGCTTTGACCACCTGCCCTATTCGCCAGATCCGACACCAAATGACTTTTTTGCTCTCTAAGCTAAAAGAAGCACTTAGAGAACAAAGATTTTCGTCAAACGAGGAGACTTTGCAGAGGAAAATTCCGCATATTATTTGGGCGGGTTAAAAGGATGGGAGCATCGCTGGAAGAGATATATAGATTTACAAGGAGACTATATCAAAAAATAAAAGTAATTTGGAGGAAAAATGCATTTTTTCTTTGTTAGGTCGGAAACTTCTCGAGCAGCCTACGTAACAGCACTGTGGATTCGTCGTTAAGTAACGGCAAACTGCTTTCACTCGTATAAAATTTTCTGTCCGCTGGAACATATGATCATTCATTTATTTACTTTGCCATGAATTGTGGCATTTACAATGCTGCTTAAATCTTCTGTAACGGTTTCATCAAATTCGTTGCCCTTTCTTCATTGCCGATTTCGGATGATAAGCTATCATAATGTAGCTTAATTTCTTCTAGTAGATTTGAATAATTATCAATGCATTTCCTTACAGCATACCTGTCTTGCGCTTCTGGAGAAATGGTGATCAAGCTCAACTTTTCAGAGCCCTTTCGAGGAGTCACCTATACGGATTATGACAGGACAAGCCCCTGCAAATTTTATGGCGACGGCAGTCGTTATTACGAACTCCGCATTCCGCTGAAGGGATGTGGCACAAAACAGGTGCGTAATTTTTGTATGAAATGCAATATTATTATAATGATTCCAATTAAAGGCTTGTTTTAATAAAATACCTGGGGATGGGAACAAAACAGCAAAATTCTTCATCACATGATAGATTATTCTTTTATCAGCTTTCTTGTTTACTTAACAGAAGAAAGTGTAATATCGTGTTACTAATAAGGGACATGATAGTTATCTCCTTTAAAAAAAATAGAGAATGGGTTTGTAATGTGGAAACTAGAATCTTAAACTAAAAACTGCATTCAAAACTTTGTTTTAAAATTAAAATTTCAAAAAATGGTTGAATAACTTTTAATTTAAACAAAATACTTCTCATAAAATCTTTATGAACGGCATCTGTTCCAACGTATGAAAGGAATTTTTTTTTATTTACAGTTAAATCTCCAGTTTTACGTAAATACACTCTTCTTATTTATAACTGGTATGTTTCAGCAGAGATGGAAAGATTTTCGACATACAGAGTTATTTATTAACATGATCATCATGTTATGTTTGTTTCATATTCTTTTAGTTAAGAGCATTAATGTAATGTTTCTAACAAAAAAAAATTTATAATTTTGACACAATGTCATTAAATGCTCTAGCACAATAGAAAAATCCCTCAAACCAATTCTTAAATTATAATAGTGCGGCAAAATATATTTATCATCAGTTATTACATTTCCATTTGTTTTGAGCCCGCATAGGGAATTTTAAAATTTATTCATAATTAATAGTGTACATTATTTATTAGCTCACAAGAGCTATTAGTCTCAAAACGGCATTTTGCATCGAATCACTTTTTAAATTGTTGCCACCAAATATGAACTCCCTGTATTATTGTCTATTTCATATTTGTTTCATTTTTGTTTATTGTCTATTTCATATTTTGTAAAACGAATTGTTGATTAAAAAATTCAGCAATTTCAAAGCGAGTAGTAGCAACACTGTAGGGAATAAAACATTTTTATCTCCAGCTCGCGAGACTGTATCGGAAATTCTAAAGACATGCTGTTTTTGGATATTTTTAGTTCAGCGTGGCGTTAGTCCAAATGCTCTCAAAACGTGTACGTGTCTGCATATAACAAAACGCCTGTTTGGGCGTAATATAAAATCTGAATGCTTTCAGATTTATTTATTTTTTCAGTTGCTGTTTATCATTAAATGTATAGTTACGAAATGTACAGGCGCGATGAGATGGCTTCCCCGCAAAGCAGTTTTAGGGTTGCCCATAAAATGGCAAGGGAAGGCAGGGCTGCCATATTTGGCGAGCAATCGCCAATTTGGCGATAAAATTGGCGATATGCATTGGACGGATGGAGAACCTTCTGGAACGAATTCTTACCGGTTTAGCCCAGAATGTTCTCGAACAGAAGCCGAAAGCTATATAAACCCTGCTGGTCCGCAGTCAGTCAGTTAGTATCGAGAGTAAAGTGCCTCGTCGAGAAGGCGAGTGAGAGTGCCTCGTCGAGAGGGCGAGTGAGAGTGCCTCGTCGAGTGCGAGATAGTCAGTATTGAGTTGGTATCTCGTCTAGCGAGTCAATCCCTGCGGAGTCGATCCCCCGAGTTGACAGCCGGGCAGCGAGTGCCGAGTGGATCGTTGAGTTCGCCGAAAGAGTCCCTTAGTGTATCGCGGTTAGTGCATCGTCGAGAGAGCGTGTTGAGCTCCGGGAACGATTGAATCGAAGAGTCGGGAGCCGTGCTCTGTGTGTCGTCAAGTGCATCGAGAGTTGTAGCTTGGAGAGTCTCGAGAGTACGTGGAGTTCTGAGAACGACCGAGCAGAGTCGAGAGCTGTACTCTGGTGCTTTGCAATAAAGCTGTCCCCACCGTGATAGCCTGATAACCGAAAGGCTATGTCGCTGATCGTGTCAGCGTGTTTATAGTAGTTCATCGACGACTGTAAAACGTGTTTTGGAGCTGTCCTGACAATATTGGTAAATAAAGTGTGTTTCGATACTTCATCAAGTGTCGTCGTTATTTACTCCAAATCCACACAAACCCCGTACGAACATGAAGGAAGAAAATAACGCAACAACTGGTGTCAGAAAAGAAAAACGCAACAGTATGATGAAAAATAGTATTTCAACATGTAATGATTTATGTAACGCAGAAGGAGACGGAAACAACGAAACAACTGATGAAATCATATGCGTTTTGCGTATTCATAGCAATTCATTCAACTCATATATCACTGTAATAAAAAGCGCATGTTTCATGAAATAGGTATATTTTCATTTTTGTATTGGGTGCTCATTTCTAGTTATACGGTTTCACGTTTCATGTCCCTTGTATCTATATTCCGTTATCCTCTTCTGTCTGTTACCTTAACCATAAACATTTTTCTGTTCTTCTGAATATTATGGTAAGGTTGCTTACGTCGTACTCCTTAAGAAAAAATAGGCATAAATCGTACAATCTAAAAAAAAAAAAAAAAAAATAACAGTTATACGTGGTAATAAGATCTTGCGTATTCGTTGCTGATATTTATTACAGCAAAATTCCATACAGTGTAAATTGGATAAAATTAAGAAAATTTATGAACATGAACTTAATTTGACTTAGACAACCAGTATTGTGAGGTATATCACTTGCCTAAGTCGTACAACGTTTAAAATTGGACAATTATAATAAAATTTTCTTTTTCTAAATTAATTTATTTGTACAATTAATTACAACAATGATCACAAAAATATTTTTTCATTTTCTTGTCAACTTCAGCACATAAGTCGTGTGCACATCCTTTTGCATTTTAGGCACTGAATCATATTCAGGGTCTGCCTCATAAATATTACAATAAAACATTATGAAACAATATAGTTAAGAAAATTTATGAACATGAACTTAATTTGACTTAGACAACCAGTATTGTGAGGTATATCACTTGCCTAAGTCGTACAACGTTTAAAATTGGACAATTATAATAAAATTTTCTTTTTCTAAATTAATTTATTTGTACAATTAATTACAACAATGATCACAAAAATATTTTTTCATTTTCTTGTCAACTTCAGCACATAAGTCGTGTGCACATCCTTTTTCATTTTAGGCACTGAATCATATTCAGAGTCTGCCTCATAAATATTACAATAAAACATTATGAAACAATATAGTTGACTACGGGGTAGCTCGTTTTGTCGCAAGAGGCGCAGTTGGCGTGAAATTATGCTTAATATGTGAAAGGTACGACTTATAAGCGGTGGTACAACTTGTGCAACCTTACCTCATTTTTCTGGAAACGATTGGAAAGTTGTAAAAAGTGACGTAACCTCATCATTCCTTACTTTATCAAACATAATAACGCAAACTTTCTTCTGTGTACGAGTTCTTGAAGATCTATAATGATATATTTCTTTAGATACAATGTTTATACTTTTCTGATAAATTTCCAACCTACGCAGGATTTCGGTTAAAATTCACTTTCCCTGTGCCCAAAACAGGTAGGAAAGTTATTAATGCGGAATCTCTGTAGGAGTCTAAGCTCGATACATCCTTGAAAGAATGCTGCCCTTGACAGGGCGGATAATTAGACGTTGGGTATTTGAAAACATGACAACCAGGTGCATCATTTTCACATTACAGCATACTCGTATTACTTTAGCGACTTTAAAAAGATATTTGCAGGATTTTTTTACAGTATTGCCATGCTGTAATAGAAATATAACTCGAGCTTGACTTACCCGATGAATGACTTTAGCTAGACATGATTTGATATAGTCGGAGGTCACATATTTACTAATAAATTGGCTTCGTAAATTTATATTTCCTGTCATTTAAAGTTTCATTATAAATCTTAAAGGGGTGGCATTTTTTATTGCTGATACGTAAGCAGGGTTTCACCTTTATAGTATTACTCACTCAGATTGTATCTTAAAAAATTTCATTGCTTTTAGTAAATAATTAATTAGATTCAAGCAACAATATTACAAGGCATTGAAGATATTGCTAAAAACAGATTTTCATTCTTTTGATAATAAACATCAGAAATACAATAGATGTGCATATGATAGCATGAAATATGTATGCGTATAGTGTAACTAGTATACATGTATAGATAGCTAACAAATTGCTGATAGCCTAATTAATTGCCTATCACATATTGCCTATCACAAAAATAAATATCAATATGATGATGATAACAATAAAGGAATATATAAATCCTAAACAATACGCACGTATAAAAATAATGAAGAAAATTATAATATTATAATATGTATGAATTTAATCACTGCTCATATTTTCTTTGAGATTTAAAAGCTCCTTTCTTGTTATTTCTTGCAGATTTAAGAAATTCTCTTTCTTATTAGATGGTTATAAAAATCCGTGTAAGCAATTTGAAGTTGCTGCTTCAAATTGCATTCAATCGATTTTGAGTGAATCTGTTCATTTAGTTATCTAGTGGCGCTGAACTGGTATACTGGTTAGTGTCGCTGGCTGCCGGGCCCGGCTTCAAATCCCGGAGAAAGCAAGGATGTTTGTAAAAGTATAGTGTCCGTGTGGCATGAAGACACTTTAAAGATGCGGCGAGCCGAAGGTCCTCTCGAGAGGTTACTGATAGGGTGAGAGGGATAGTAGACCCTGGGACCCGTTCCCCTAGGGTGCCCTCCATCAAAATTGGGGGCGGAACTGAGCTAAATCTCACTGTCACCTGTAAGGTGCTCAAAGGTGTTGCCAATGACAGGCGTAAAACTTGCGCTCCTTACCACGAGGATTTTCGTGGACTTAGGTCGGACGAGTGAGTGTTAGCAGCAACACAACAACAGTTATCTATTTATTTGCAAATTTCAGTATGTAGAGAAAGATCTCGGAAAAATCGGGCTGTCACATAATCAAACCAACAAGCTATTTGACAAACCAAGAATTTAAGAGTTGAAAATCTGCCGAGGGGTAACAATGTATGTAGCCCCACTGAAAAGCACGTGGATTACTTCTCGAAAGCTGATTTATACCCAATAAGTATACCATCTGTTAGATCCATTACTTCGGAGGACTTGGACTATTT